ACTCGACAGCCTTCGATCGAGGCTTCGACAAATTCCTAGCCTAGTCTATGATCAGTGGCTGAACACGCCCCACGACTACTTTCCGACGATCCGCGCCTTGTCATTTATCCATTGGTCCCTTAGATACGCGCTACAGACTCAATCAACTCGAGTTTATCCTTTATCGATCCGCCCCTCTCTGCACCTCCCACTTCCCCTCCGCCCATATCTTCCCCCCCCCCTCCCCCCCCCCTCCCCTCCTTTCCTCTTTCACAAAAATTATGGCACTTCGCAGCTTAGCAGATGATATGAATTTGCAATTATCTGACGACGAATCTGATGATCTTTGGAACTCGCCTTCCAAGCTCGGAAATAATCGATATGCCTCCAAAGCGGTCAAGGAGGAGAGCTTGTCACCCGAACCGACAAAAGTCTCTGCCCATGATGATGGAGAGACGATTTTTGACCGCCAAGAGGCGCGTGAAGCCGCTTTGCGCAGCGAGCTAGAGAGCGTTCGTAAGATTAATCAAGTCATTGAGGGTCTCCTTGGGAGCCTCGACCGTGCCAAAGGGAACATGGATGTGAGTCTGGTGCCACTGCGTCATTGCTTAGACCTATAGTTGTTAATTGTTGACTCAATGTAGACTGTTTCACGAACGCTCGACTCCGCTTCTACTCTCCTGAATACCTGGACTCGGATTCTCTCCCAAACCGAGCACAATCAGCGTTTGATCCTCAACCCGAACTGGCAAGGTGCAGTTCAAGATGTGGCCGACTCGGAACACGAGGAACTTCTCCGGCAGCAGGCTGCCGAGAGACGCGAACGAGAGCTTCAACAACAGCGAGAAGCTGCTGCCCGCAAGGCTGCGGAAGAGGAGAGAAAGAGAGCCGCCGCGGCCAGCGCCAGAGGCACCCGCGGGTCGAGTTATGGACGAGTGCGCAGTGGCTTGGGAAGAACTTCTGGCATCTCATACTCGGGCACACGACCTGGCGCCACACGGACCACGGCGTCCTCAACCACAACGGGGAGACCACCTACGACTAGTACGACACGTAGACCGGCTAGTGGGATTGCGAGGGGCTCGGGGATTGCGCGTGGTCGCGGCCGGGGCTAAAATGGTAAATACGGCATGACGATTGTGGATGCGACATGTATAATATAAGACAAATGAAGGACGCACTCAGATATTGTGATAATTATGATACCCCTCATGAGAAGAGAACTTTCGCAAATCCAACCACCACGTGCACCTTCTCTGTAGCACATATTCATGATGTAAACAAAAGATGTCGCGGGGAACGAACATTGTTGCCTAAGGCACCGAACCGCATCACCGCCCATACTAGTTAATTGTGATCTACTGCGATAAAGCTTCCATCGCCCCGATAAGCTTGCGCGACGTTGCCTGGCTTGCAACTTGACCATGGACTCATCCTCCTCAACACCATGAATTTTGCCCCTTACCAGGACGAATCCCCCGAGGTGGAACGCGCATTCTCCCCCTCGCTGGGCGAGGCGCACCGTACGAGACCCCCCAATATCCAGTCCCCGCGCGGCTCTCCAGCCCCTGGTCTTGCATCTCCCGGCCTGCCATCCCCGAGCCACTTCGCCGGTGGTGCAGGTGCAGGTGCAGGCAATGTCAACAACACCAGCGGCCACGGAAACACGGGCTTTGGGAATGACCTCGAGGGCGGCCGGTTGAGCCTCGGCGCCTTCGACACCAGTCTCCCCATCCGCATGGACGTCGAAGCAATGCTGGCATATCTGCTTCTGCCTCCCGCCGGTGGTGTTTTTCTCCTTTTGGTGGAGCACAAGAGCGACTACGTACGGTAAGTTATATGCCAATCACGCCAGAAATCAGCCAGTCCTATACTTCAGCGTCCTAGTCCTGCTGTTAACCGGGATCTAGATTTCATGCATGGCAATCGAGCATGCTCTTCACCGTCATGTTTGTAAGTCTTTACTTGTTATTGCAACCCGCACTCCAGCCCATACGAGGAGGCCATGGGCTCACAAATTTCACCAGATCATCCACCTTATCTGCTCCGGGTCAAGTTTCCTATCCTGGCTATTGTTCGTCGGCGATCTTGCGATGATCGGGTTCTTGAGCATGCGTGCTTATCGCGACGGTAGGGCTGGCTCTCTCTCCCTTTCTCTTGTTGACCGGGTTTTGCGGTTATCACGCACGTGCTGACATCTGTTTCCTCCCCCCACAGTTGATACGCTCGATCACTTCGAGGTCCCTATCTTCGGCCGCCTGGCCAACTCCTTTGTCGATGACGAATAAAACCTAATCTTAGTTGGTGGTGAAACCTTCAGGTGTCCATCCAATGGCGCTGGATTGAAGTCGGGTCGTCGTGCCATGCATTTTCCTTATCGAATTCTCGGAGGTTTTCAGACTGAGTAGAGCTCTTTCCTTGTACAGTGTCGGGTCGAGAACATAATCCATAAGTTGCAGCGTGCATATATCTTAGCTTTCCGGGTTTTCATTTATATGCTATATATGTTTATCCTGTACGTTTATCCCGTCAGATGTATAGTTGACTGGGTTAATTTCACTCCTTAGTACTTTCCGGAGCAGGCGCAAAAACCAAGTTCAGCCTTGTCACTTGCCCTTTACATCATGGGTTCTCATCGTTAATACCCCGATGGCCAGTTCTTGGCTCGTCATGGTTACGGGCTCACTTGCGATACCGGGGCGGATTGTGCAGGTAGAAGACCCCGACCTATGATCTATGAGGCAGGGATACGAGAGAATATGTACTGTACTTCGTAGCTTGCGGAAAGCCTCCGCACCTAATCCTAGATTCAGACAAATTCATATTCGGGATAACAACATTATTTAACCGAGCCTCAAACCACAAGGAAATGAAGGACAATCGTCATCGTAACCCGACAAAGAGGTATCGCGAACTCATAAAAGGACCGACTTCCAAACGACAGGGCTCGCAAAGGACAGTAATGGTCGAGGGACAGCAAAGCAGGTAAGAGAGTGATTACATGGCTTGTGAGGCGAACGTGCTGGAAGAAGTAGAGCAAGAAGAAAAGAAGAAATTAGGCACGATCTGGTATCAATATCATGAACGCGTGAATTAGGATAGGGGTCAATGTCGGTTTGTAGGTGGATTGAAATGTTCATGAAATAACAGGGGTATGGGTCATTGCATAATTTCAGAAGATTGCTGAATTTAGATGATCTGTAGATAGTTGCTCGGCACCAATCCGGTTCGGCTTCGAGTGGTCGTGATTTCCGCTTCCCACCAGCCATCATCTTGCAGCCGGATGACGGAAAGCACGTCGCCTTTGCTGAAGCCTAATTCTTCAGGTATAGCGGCCGTGTAACTGTACATTGCTCGAGCTATAGATATGAGTGTTAAGGGGACGTTTTGCTAACAGTGCAGTGGACAAGGGAAAGTGAGAACTTACCAAAGTGTAAAATTGGTCTGCCGTCCCGACTGAACTGTCTGCCAGGGTCGGCGACAGCCATTGACCTGCTTCTCGACCGGCTGCGTACGCTGGCGTTGTCACCATAATATGACATGGGTCTGCCGCTGTCGCGCCGGGACGCATACCCATCATTGGTACCGCCGTACATGTCAGATGGGCTGGACAGTTGTAGTTCCATACCTCCAGCGCTGGAAGGACGAGCCTGTTGTCTGAACTGAGGCTGAGGCGACACTGCTCGTGGGGGTTGTCGAAATTGCGGCTGGGGTGAAACAGCTCGTGGGGGTTGTCGAAACTGTGGCTGAGGTGAAACAGCTCGCGACGCGGCTGCCGTGGGAGATTGACGATACTGAGGCTGAGGAGACACTGCTCGCGGCATATTTGTAGCCACAGAGCCGCGCCTAGAGCGGGGTGTAGCATCAACAGGGCGTTGAGGTGGTGTGGAAACGGTGGGAGACTGCGCATATCGGTTCTTCATGCTATTTGACTGGTACGAGCTCGGGCTCGGGCTCGCCGCTCGACTATACTGGCTCATGCGCGTATCCACGCGGGGAGGATTGACCTGAGGGCTGGCACTGCGCCTGGGCGCCGGGGATTTAGCACGGGGAGCTTCCTGTGTTTGACCACTGTTGCGCCTCGGAGCCTGGCTCGTGCCTCTAAGCATACTCTGGGTCTGTCCAGTATACCTTTGAGTCGTCTTTTGCATCTGAGCTGCAGTAAAAGCGGGCTGCGGTGCATCCAGACGCTTCAATGACGAATCATTATAAGCCGGAGGAGGTGTTGCGACAGAGCCGGGCGTGGCTGTTGGTGCTGCGACTGGCGGCGGAACTGGCGTAGCGATACCGTGATATCTATCGGCTGAGACTCGAGTCGCTGACTGCTTTCCTGCACCCTTCAAATCTGCTAAGGCTCGGGCAACGGGGTCTTGCTCCTCGTCTGCTTTCTTGCTCGCCTGTGCTGTCTTCTTAGTATCATTGTCTGGTGACTCCACGTCGAACACGTTGTTGCCCACATTGAGTTGGAAATTAGCTCTTGGATCAACGGGCTCGGGACTTCCAGACACCCTGCCCGAATCTGGAATGGATATAGGTTGCTGAGGCTGAGGAGCTTTGATCGGGCTTGCCTGCTTTGCTGGGGCCTCGTATGTACTGCGAGCGGGAGCCTGAGCTGGGCCGGAATGGCGATCTTTATCGTGCCGGCTCTTGCGACGGAAAGGACTATTGCTGAAGAACGCGCTTCGCTTCTTTTGAACCTGCTTATCCATGCCAGGAAGCGCGACTCCATTGATTGGCTTGGTTGGAGACTGTCTTGCGCTTGAAGGTTCTTGGCTTGACATCGAAGTCGAATTTGATACCTCACTCTGAGAGTCACGGCTTGACGGTCTGTATGCGCTGTTTGTCCCTGAGCTGCGCTCGGAGGGAGGCCCCGTCCGGCAGAACATCGTCATGCCATCCGTCGGATATGCGTTATGGGGAACAGTACCAATCTCCCCATGCTCATTAGGATCATAATTTGGCGGCAAGTATCCACCACGGCGAAGATCCAATGGAGCTGGCTGTTGCATGGGTGAAGGCTGCATTGGCTGCACTGGCTGCATTGGCAGCGGCTGCTGGATAGACTGCTGGATTGGCGGCTGGATGGGCTGCTGGATAGGCTGTTGCACTGGCTGTTGCATAGGCTGAGGAGGTGGTTGCTGTCTGGCTTGCGGTGCTGGCTTCTGTGGAGTAACCGTAGCTTCCCTGCTTGAAGGTGTCGGAGGCCGATTGATCTTAGCTGCGATCTCAGCGTCCGGATCCATATTGGAGTCATAGGCCGAAGGCTGCGGGGAGGAACTTCGGTAGGCTGGGTTGATCGTGCGCTGGAACTGGGCTACTGAGTAGCCTTCTTCCTCTGATGCCTCAGAGCTAGTGTCATCAATTCCCCCTCGGCAGAAGTTGATAAACTTTGGTGGATCAGGTATGTCCTGCCCGGTCCCTCTTTCCTTGATGAAGTTGATTATATCTTTCTCTACCTCACAGTCTTCCAGAGAAAGACGGATTTTCTCACAAGACTAGCTATAGATTAGTTGCCGAGTACTATAGCAGAATGAGGACAACCTACAGCATCATCGCTGACGCAAACCGTCGAAGCAATATTTGCGTATGTCCAAAGACTGCTTTTGGTGAAATCGAGCCGTTCTTCCTCTAGATCTTGAAATTTCTGAGATGTTGTTAGTCACGATTTGAAGAAATAAAACTTGGAGCAGCCTGTTGTTCCTTACATCACATGCAGACTTCCACTCCTTGTTCCAGCGTCCAGTTGTCTCTTCTAGTATCTTAATTGCGGCTTCGTACTCGCTGCTGCTGGATGCTAATTGAATCTGCGTCTTCTCGAGCTTGGCTTTGTTTTTGCGCTCTTCCTGACCCATAACCATGTGACCCTGCGCGAGGTAGCCTTTGATCCTCAAACAATCCTGTTCGTAGCGATCTCTCGTCTATAAGAGCTTAGCACCCAGTGAAATTTGCGCTTCATTTCAAGCATCTCAGCCTACCTTGTTGACGACATGAGTTTGCTGGATCTTGGTTTTGAGAAGGCGCTCAATACCATTCTGAATAATTTTCCTACGCTCTTTGGACCCTCCCGCAAACGCAATCAGTGGCTCCTCAAGCTCTCTTTTCATCTGTGTAGAAATGGCTGCGTGGGCTTTCGCAATAGCTTCGGTTTCACCACGGACTGTGTCAAATGAAGAACGCAGTGAGCCGATTTCAGTCGATC